AATACGAGTTGTTCGTTCTTCGAGCGTGCTCCGAAAATTGCGGCGAAAACTCGGCCAGGCCCGAGCGGAAGCCGCTCAAATGATGAAACTTTTAATCTGCCTTGCTCGCGGTGCCGTGCCGTCTGAATCGGGGAGGGAAAAAAATTCCAGGGACCGAATTATGCGACTGCTTTTACGCGAGCTTGTTCCAATTACATCGCGTGTATCAACGTTTCTTAACGAACGCGAGAGAAATAATTTCTTCGACGCGATATCGTGCGGGGACAGTTTTTATCGCGACCGGTGAAATTGAAAGAAAAAATTTCATAAAGAGACAATTTTGGAGGGAAAAATTTTGGTAACGATCGAACGTTGCGGAGCGGAAAAATACCGATGAAATATGCGAGTTCCATCAAAGAACGTAGTAAAAAATTCTGGCACAAAAACCGTAAACACGAGGGCTGATCGCTAGGGAATATCTAAATGCAGCCACAGCAACACCGATTGATGTTACATCGACGAGAGATAATGGTGTCCAAACAATGTTATACGCGTCAAAAGCAACGTACGTTAAAACTGTTGTTTGTTGCCGAGCGAACGCTTTTGGCCGGCGATAGCGCGTCGCTAATGAGACAATTTCATTCGTCGGAAAATTCGGGAGGCAATGAGGCAAACGTGGCGCAGGTGAACGGAATAACGTGTTCCCAGATATTTTGCCTCTAAACGAGTAAACGTGTCATTCCGCTTTCAAACGAAAGCTTCGCGAAGTCTATTTGCTCTACGGTCAATAGAGAGTTTAAAAAAACGGGATACAGCTGGATTACACGTATCCCCGGGATTTTCTCGGATAAATACAAAGGGATATTCTGGAATTGAAAATGGAAAAGAAGTGTCACTTTTTCGAGTTGCGTGATTTTCAGGAATATTCGTCAATTGTGACTTTAAAAGTATGTTGATACAATTTTTATTAAAAAATATATAAGTACGTTAGCACAATTGTGACTTAAAAATATGCAACAAGTATTGGTACAATTATGGCCTGAAATTATATAAATATATTAGTACAATTATTATTAAAAAATATATAATAAGTTTTTTAGTAAAATTGTGACTTAAAAATGTACAATAAGTATTGGTACAATTATGGTCCAAAATTATATAAATATGTTAGTACAATTAGTATTAAAAAATATATAATAAGTTTCTTAGTAAAATTGTGACTTAAAAATATGCAACAAGTATTAGTACAATTAAGATCTAAAATTATATAAATATATTAATACAATTATTATTAAAAAATATATAATAAGTTTCTTAGTAAAATTGTGACTTAAAAATGTACAATAAGTATTGGTACAATTATGACATAAAATTTTATAAATATGTTAGTACAATTATTATTAAAAAATATATAATAGGTTTCTTAGTAAAATTGTGACTTAAAAATGTACAAGTATCTTGATACAATTCTGACTTAAAAATATACAATAAATATATTAGTACAACTGTGCTTTAAAATTATATAATAAATATATTAGAACAATTATGATAAAAAAGTATAATACAAGTATAGAGGTAAAATTATGATAGAACAATTAAGATTAAAAAATGCATGAAAGGAATATTAGCACGATTATAATAAAAGAGTATAAGAGCACACTTAATTTAAAATTAAAAGTTCATTGAGAAGAGTACAAACGTGGAAGGCTTTAATAAAAGATGGCTAATCAATTGTAGCGAATAACGAATCATAGGTAAATTGGTCTATGGTTCCATTATGAATTTCAATCAGAATATTCGGGGCGAGGGTTATTAATAATACAAAACGGCGCCGAGAGAAAACACAGTTAATGAACACACAATGTGACATTAATTTAACAAATTTTAATTAGAGAGTATGAATGTTCGAAATGAACCGTACGGTATATTTGAAGCATACCGGAACGCGTGAATCGTGAAAATAGGTACAATATTCAAAATACATGGTTGATAGAAAAAGAGATACGAAGTGAAAATATCTTGAAAAGGAAATAAAGCTACGTACCTGCAGAAAAGATCCGCAAATAATTCCGCAATTTCTCCCCGTCAAAGCGCACCGCGGACACCGATATTGTTTGAGGAGGACTCGTTTCACGGTGTAAGAAACCTACAGAAATTTGTTCCGCTTCGATAGATCGTCTGCAGGTGGTCGGTGGTCGAGGATCGATAAATGTATCGGCGTGTCACGACCGATATTGGAATCGAGAAATATCTCCGATGAAATTTCGTCACGGTCTCGTGCTTGGCAAAAAACTTTCCGAATAAAATAAGGATTGAAATTTCTTATGCACGGTCTCCCCATTATTTGCGCGCGAATGGGATAAAGAATGAATGGTGGGAAAAAAGAAGCGAGAAGCTTTTACCGCGAAATGTCTTCAGCTCGTTAGAGACTTAACGAGAAGGAACGCGGTGTACAGGTGCAAAGCGGAGGATGAAGGAGTGAAAAAGCGAGAGAGGGTAAAGCCGAGCATACAAGCTGCTCGAGAGCTTTTCGAAGTTGGAACTGCGCTCGGTAATACCGCTCCGACCGAATGGTCGAGTACTAATCCGAGTGTAATAATGGTGTCCGGACTCGCGGAGAACGAACGTGAACGCACTACTATTCAGACTACTATTACCCGGCCAGCAGGCTCATCTACCTCCTTTCAAACTCATTATACGATTTTTAATACATCGCACACAACCCTGTACAACTCATTTTAGCGCCGCGATATGGACGCCAAAAGGCCGATCTTCAAACCGACGCCTTTCTGCAATCGACCCAATAAATAAGTCTATTACTTTTTCACGTCATCTTCATATTCACACAATTTTTATATAAAAGAACTACAATTATAGTTTTGTTGCAATTCTACAATTTTGTTGCTAACCCTCTATAAAAGATAGGCAGTGAAATAGCCCGAATTTTTTGTGGAAAGATACTTTAATAAATATCAAGAAAAGACACGTGTCGAAGAAAAATTCGTGACTATACACCCTATCGGTCTTACAGTTGAAATAAATAACTTGAGCACAGCTGCTTGACGCCATTTTGACTCCAGCCTACTAGGTTAGGTTTACCTCTTCAATAACCTCACATAATCGCTTGAAAATAATTTTGTGTAAATATTGTAAAAAACAGAGTCATTCTTGCGAATAACCTCGCGTAACATATTAAAAATAATTTCATACAAATTTTATAAAAGAGTCATTCTTCTTGCAAAGAGTGACCCTTCAACCGCCAGAACGTGGAATCTGTTTTTTCTCTATTTAAGAACGTAATTTAACTTAGCGGCTTAATAGCACAAATGTTGTATTGGAAAACATTTTGTAAGCAATTTTTCCAACAGACTATTAAAACGTTAGGATAATATATGCACAGCGTCACGTGATTAATCGACGTTCACAACAAGCCGCAAGATAGAAGCTCGGTTCATAATGCATTACGGTTTGAACAACGGAGAACGACAGTGAGGGATTACAGTCGGCTACAGTATTACGCGTTTGCGGCGAAATTTATGGGATTCGCGATAGATTTACCGCTAAGAATCACGGGGAAAATTCCGGTAAAGGCGTGTCCCTCAAAACCTCAAATTCTCTGTCGCGCAACATTATTCGCGACGCGCTTTAACCGCGGTGTTGTTTGATTTTCCGCGTTCCCGTTCAAGCGGTAAAAACGTGAAAGGGAAGGCGTCGAGGGGCGAAGGGACGCTTTAAGCTCTTCATAAATCCAGTCGTTTCTCGCGTTCACGGTTTTCCTTCTTCTTAGCAGCCGTTCCATTTACATACCAAAGACTAATCCGCGAGCGGGCCGATTGAAATGAAAATTCATGGCCCTGTCGCGAATCCGACGCCGACGCGAATATCATTTCCTCCCGCGACGGAACAAAGCTTTAACGGCATGCGATTTATTCGCTCGGTGAAAAAAAAAAAGAAAAATGGGGATTGAAAATGGGACCGTAAGTCGGGGAATCGCTTTGGAGGGAAAAATAGAAATATCGACAATATTCCCTTCTGTTCAATTTCACCGGAGCGATACTCTTCCCTGGGGAAGTTCACGGGGGTCCGCCATTTGTAAATTCTTCCTTCGTCATTTTTCGTACTTGTAGGCTATTCGTACTATGTAGGCAAAACTGAGTCTGTATTTGTCACAATTAAATTTACTTTATATAGCATATGTTACGAATATATGTGTAGTATGTGCCAGGACACATGTCTCAGGACATACATGACTACATGAGTTCTACACATGACTCAGGTCTGAGTGACTTGTTAATCACGCTAATAAAATTGTCAGCAAGACTTCTTTGGCCCTAATTTGTCATTCTTCGTACTTGTAGGCTATTCGTACTATGTAGGCTGTCTAAATAAAAACTGAGTCTGTGTTTGTCACAATTAAGTTTACTCTATATAGCATATGTTATGAGTATACGTATAGTATGTGTCAGGACACATGTCTCAGGACATGCATGACTACATGAGTTCTACACATGACTCAGGTCTGAGTGACTTGTTAATCACGCTAATAAAATTGTCAGCAAGACTTCTTTGGCCCTAATTTGTCATTCTTCGTACTTGTAGGCTATTCGTACTATGTAGGCTGTCTAAATAAAAACTGAGTCTGTGTTTGTCACAATTAAATGTACTCTATATAGCATATGTTACGAGTATATGTATTGTATGTGTCAGGACACCTGTCTCAGAACATACATGACTACATGAGTTCTACACATGACTCAGGTGTGAGTGACTTGTTAATCACGCTAATAAAATTGTCAGCAAGACTACCTCTTTGGCCCTAATAGACAGCAAAACCAATCTACATAACTTCGAAACCTTTTAAATTTGTGAATTTGTAAAATTGTAAAATGGAGTTTGCTATTCTTGTCATGTCCGACGCTAATCCTCATTCTAATGTAAGATAAAATAAATGAAGTATACAAATATGATTTGGATAGTGATTGTAGTCGTCATAGAACTGATAGATCGTGTTTTTGTTACAGCAACCCCACCGTGGGTGAGGCAGGAGCAACCGTGCCCGATGACTGGCGACTTTTGCATGAACGGTGGTACCTGCCTGTTTTTCGAGACCGTCGGTGAACCAGCATGCAGGTGGGTGAATATCGATCGATTTTCTTTTTGCATAATTGATAATTCCGGTAGCCTCGGTTTTCTTACAGCTGTCGGATTTAATATTCCTTTCGTCAACGGGACGCGTGTTTATTGTAACGTCGCTTGGTACACGGCTTGCTGATTGATCGATACGTTCTGTTGCTATCATTTGCAAATGGACTGCGCAAACTACGTTGTATGATCACAGAGGTAGATTTGCGGTACAATCTCGTTTATCCAAACATGTCGAATGATTGGACAGTAGCGATAAAGCAAAATAGTGGTAGGAAAAAGGTAGGGGAAGGGTCGTAGGGAAATCTAGAGAGATTCGATCGAGCAGAAACAACATTGAGAAGTTTGTACCCGAGGCGAAAGAGCAAACGGAAGGGTAACGCGATGGAATCGCTTCGTTCCTGTTGAATCTCATAAAAAATTCCATTCACTCCGGGTAGAGCAATTTTTACGTTCTACTCGCCTCGTTTTTACACCCCTTCCGCCGGAAATTCGTAGCCGTAGGTACGTTCGAAATTTTCGGCTTTCGTTGCTCGCTTCTTGGTTTTTATCGCTTCTTTCGAAAATTAAATTTCCCCACCCCCGCGCGCACTTCACCTTTCGTGTCGGATAAAATCGATCTAGTACAGGTTTAATGAAAAAAGTTTGAAAGCTGGCGATGATCAGCGATCGTTCCACGGAATTAGCAGCTCGATCAGCCGGCAAGGAAACGCGTTACTTCCTTTCCGTTCTCCGGCTGCTCTTCCGCGTCCGAGTTCTACCGTTATAAAATCACGGAAGACCATAGAGGGAGGAAAAAGTTTGCCCGATATCAAAGCAAACACATTCAGTCGGCCATCATTTTTCCCCCGATCTTCGCAAACACTCGACTCATTTTAATTTCAACGGAACGAGGAGAAACCACGACGGGAACTCGTCGCTTTTCACGTAGGTACCTGTACACGCTGCTATTATTTCAATGACGACGTGGGGAACTTTCCTTTTTTCGCCTCGCCTCTACCTCGTTTCATCCACTTTCCTTGAACGCGTCGTGGAAACTGAAACAGACGTGAAACTCGTGGAAAGAGAAAAATGTAACTCGTGGTGCATGATTTTTCTGGAAAACGCGGATATATGACCGCCGCTATATGGGGCCATAAAGCCCGCCCTTTTGTACCTATATACTTTCAGATTGATCGCGTGTGCCTGCAATAACTTCTACATAAATAGTTAAAGCGAGAAACTCCGCGGAGTTTTAGATTTATTAAAGCGTTCTTATCAAATACTCGCCTTCGTTTCATGTGATTTCATTGCGTACATTCACTTTTCCTACTATTTTATAAATTACTTTGTTTTTATTAAATTCATGTGATTGAGTAAGTTGTATTTAAGATGTAGTTGAGAATAATTTTTTTTTATATTTTCAATCAAGAATATGTACAGGGTGTTTTGATGGGCATAATTTTAGGGGATGATAGCTTGGGTGATTCTGAACAACTTTTTCCTTTACGAAAATGCTGGTTAAAGCTTAATTTTTGAATTATTGAAAGAAAACGCGGTCAACTCAAAATGCGGGGATTACGCATGCGCAGACGCGAGCAATAGCTAGTGGCTGAGTGCGCAGGCGCGAAAGCGACAGCTTCGAGCCTATTGGCTGAGTGCGTATAATCCTCCCGCTCTGATTGGTCCATGTTTTTCCTTGATAATTCAAAAACGAAGCTTCGAACCTCATTTTCGCAAAGGGAAATCTTACTCAGAATCACGTCAGCTACCTCCCGTTTCAGTTAATACATATTCAATTTACAAATTCATATTGCTGTAACATGAGCAGTATGATATATAAATGATCCCTTTCATTATAGAGTGATGAATACAGAAGTACTGCAGTGCTCGAGTATTAACCCCTTAACCCATGCGTCAGACATAGGTAACTAATTATTACTACAAATTTATTAAAATAATTAACAGAGGTTCAAATGTAAAATATATTTTTGGCTCGTGATCCTTGATTATACAATTTAAAACTAATATTGCACTACAACTTGGTAAATGTGATTTAGTTGTACCTGAACAGTAATGTACATCACGTGACACACATGAACGAAAGTTAGTAGCTGTATAAATAAGTAATCTGATGTCTAAACATACTTCAGCCATTCTACCTGTCTCCAAGCGTCGATTCGTGTTAAGGATCGTAAAATACCGACGGCAGAAAGTCTTAAGACTTTAATTTCCTCTCGGCAAATAAATCGAGATCATGGCGCGAGAACCCTCTTCAAGCCCGTCCTTCGAAGTATCCCCAGTGGCAAATGCCCCGATTGGAATCACAGGTTGCACAGGTGTAGAGGGTGAAATCGAATGGGGGGAAGTGTCTCGAACGGGTAGATTTACGAGCGTCTCCCCGTAGCAGAGTGATCGCGAAAGCTTTGCATTCGCCGTGTATTTCGGCGAAGTATCGCGTGGCTGCAAGAGACATCGGTAGAAGCCGAAACGACGGGGGAGGACGATAAACTGGATACTCGATTCACGACAACGTTTCTCGTGTTCGATTTATAAACAGGAATCCCGTGGCGCGACCTTTCAAACTGGGCCATCCGGCTTCTTCATCATTTTTCGCTTCTTGCTCGATTTTCGGGCGCCGCCTACGTTCTCTTCTCGTCTACGATTTCGACCGGGTTTATAGCGAGTTTATCGAGATCACGGGGAGGAAATTTATTCCGCGAAAAGACGAGCCACTGGAAATCCATAAATCGAGGACTCTCCAGATACGAACCATGATTTATTATGAACAACGAGAAGAAATAGTTTGAAACTCGGGGAAAGGTGGATCCGGTTACAGGCGACCGTCGATTTATTAACGAATTTGACCCAACAGGATTTTCCGTTTTTATTTTCGGACGGCTTCGATGCTTATCCGTTTATAGCGTGACATGATTTGGTGACAAAAAGTGTTTCTGTCTGTTACTAGTATAGGGTGGTTATTTAAAATAAAATAGAAACTTCTTTGAAGTAAACTAATTTTTTAAAAGCGAGCCAGAAGGAGTCACCCTGCTTTCAACATATACGTTCATTGATATTAATTACTTTTTCTAAGGGCTGAATCTTCTGAGGGTTGAAGCTAAATTCTGTAGACAATTTTACTCTAACTGCACACTTAATTTGACACTGAAATTAAAATACAGAAATAAACAAATGATATAACATGAATTAATATAAATTCTTCATCTGCATAGAAATGAACACATATCTCAAGAGGAGCGTCTTAACAAATTTTATAATTTAAAATAAAAAAATTCTGAACAGGTCAAATGGCCGACTAGATAGTTTTAGTGTTAACATAGAGTTACCCCCTGTCTGATAGCACATTTTTCCGGTCTCTCAGTAAAACTTGAAAACTAACTTCTTAACCTACAATGTTGTCATTAGTCAGTTACCTAATTATTGCAGTGTTAAGATAAATAAAAAGCACTGGTATCGAAGTGAAAATTCGATTTTCATGCGAATTTAGGTTCGTAAAGAATGTATAGATGTCCAGGGGGTTGAAACTATGGGAAAATGATAGATATTCGAGTAAAAGTAACGATAAAGTTGAGGTTTAACGAAAACTCTTTCATCGCGTCGAATTCGATAGACAAAAGCGTGGTAGCGTGTTTCGTGACAGGCGAAACGCAGAGTGACGTGCGCTCGGGCGGCGCGTATCATCGCTAGCACATCGATAAAATATTCGAAACGTGGGTTTCTGCGAGGGAAATATCGGACAGCGCGGAGAATGACGGGATGCTTGTCCAGGCCAGATTCGACCGGGAGGTAATTCGACATGGGTGAAAAGCTGACGCGCTATGATAACGCCATTCGTGGCAGATAAGGCGAACAAAAAGCTGAATATTAAAGCCGAACGAACGACCGGTGTTCCATCCCTTCTGGAGAGAGTTCCCTGAACCGGAAGGAAGGAAGGAAGGAAGGAAGGATGAAAGAAAAAAGAGGTGGGAAAAAAAGAATGAAAGCACCCTCTAATATCCAGTGCTTCACACCGTCGACCTCTCGAGCCGTTTTTTCTCCTCGTCGTTTCCGTCCTAACCCTGGCCCATATACGCGAGAAAGCTCGCGTACTCGCTCGAAACTTGTCGCGTACGCACAAAAGCCGCTATCGTCGCGCAAAGTGTACCGTCGTCGCGTATGCAATCATCGCCGACGAGAAAACGAGAACTCCGACGATCTCCGGATGAAAATTCCCCCCTTTCCCCCGCTGTTCGCACGCTCATTATTTTAACCGGGGAAACGCGAAAGCTTTTATTATGAAAGTGTCTGCCGACCCGACGTTCGCGAACGTTCGATACGCTTCTCCGGCAAGGGAACGCTCGTGAAACGATTCATTCGAAGCGCATAAAGTAACGAGGTCGAGATTGTGACGGAAGTTGCCTCAGAATGCGTCTGTACGAATAAAACGTCCACGTTTTAACGTTTTAGAGCGTGATCCTTTCTTTCCCCGTTTTATTTTATTCAATGACGGTGTCCGAATAAATTGAATAACATCTCGAAGGCCTCGTTTTCCATAAAATGAAACTACGCGTAAAAAGTGGCTCGCGGACATTTCATACCGCGTGTAAAGGGCTGGCGTGTAAATCCGTACCTTTGGAAATTCTATATCGTATCAAAATTTCATGAAAATGAACGCGTGTCAATTATGTAGCGTCCCTTATTAAACGCGCGCATCCCGGCGAGACTCATCGGGAAATCCGATATTTAATAATTTCTTGATAGAACATTCCATTTGTATAATATCCGATATGTAATAAAAATTTGACCGTTGCGGGGATTGAATCCGCAGGAAAGTTACATATCTCGCGTGTCCCTCTGCATGAGTACACGCAGTAACCTCGATAAAAATTCTGCATAGCATCGGCAGAAAAATAGCGGACCTATACATTTAAGTCGGGGATTTTCGTTTGAACTTTACGTAGACGTTAAATTAGAGCTGCGGCTTTTACGCTTTCAGCTCCCTTTCGAGC